GCATTTTAACAAAACATAAATGTTTAGTTCCATGCACAAGTCCTTTTGAGGAATGTTTGAAATTTCTATATCCAGTAGTAGAGTTTGAAAGGGTCTTATAACCTCTAACATCAGATATTCACAGTATATGATGGTAGCAATTCATGCCCCTTTGTTTTTAAAACTCTGCATACTAATTTTATATTATTGCTTAAAGTATATTGTGCCAGTAGGTGCTAAATTTTAAATCTGATGATAGAATTTGAATGGTTTAGAATGGAAGAAAATGATATTTAAAAGGCATTTTTGTTAGCTTCTGTTTTGTTTTCTGGTAATGTATTTGGCTATTCTTTTAGGACTTAATGAGGAAAATGATGGAATACTAAGAAATCTATTTAAAGATCATCCTCATTCTACTACATACTCTTAAAGGATTAAGGACTGATAGATAATCACTTGTATTTCAAACCTTTAATTCCAGTTCTTTAAAAAAAATCACTTTATGAGGCTTGTTTTGAATTGAGATGCCAAAGGTGGCATAGAAAACTTCAAGAGAGAAATGAAATAAAGGTTTTTGATCCTTCAGTCTGACCCAGTCCTGAATGAGCACACTGGGTGGATTTAGTGCTCCTGATGTTAGGGGTAATGTGATTTGAATACCCTATCCTGAATGTGCTCTCACATGAGTTCATATCCTAGTTTCCAGTGTCAAGGCATTATTTGAAGATGCATTTGCAGGAAGCATTCAGTGACTCCTGCTCTTTTCCTAGACATGTCATCCACTTTGGTTGTGCTTAAAATAAAGTACTCAGATAGAAGGTAAGTTGAAACAGACAACAAGCAATATAATACAAAATGTAATAAGTAAAGTGTGTTACTCAGATCCTTCTAAAATACATTCCTCCCTTTATTTTGAAGGCCACAGTATAGGCAACTTGGCTAATGGAACCAGTCTCTTCCTTTGATCATCAATAGGGTTATCTTTTCAGGAAACTAAGTTCCAGCTCAGATGACAGTTTCAGATGAGGCTGACATGAAAGAGAGAGAGACTGTTTAATTATTAGTTCCCTGAAAAGAACACGGATTTTCTCTCTTAAAATTAATAATTCTTCAGCTGAAATCATAAACAGGAGCTCTATCAGGTCTTGTTGGATAGGCGGGGGGAAAATTATTTGATCTTTATTTTTTTTTGCTCAGAGCAGTGAACAGGATCTGGTTTTATGTGTCAGCCTGGCAGACGGTCACAGACTGCTGGCTCTGGGTGTCTGATTTTAGTCAAATGAGAATAAAAAACAAGTGTAATATAAATGCATTGATTTAATCTCCTAAGGCTTGGGGAAAGCTTGTGAAGTTGTGTACTGAGTAGCCTGGCATAGAGTAGATGCTCAATGAATTCTCACAATAATAGACTATAGTAGGTGGATGAAGGGCAAGCACTGAAATGTGCTAAGCGGGCTTTAGCAGTTGCTTTCCCTTTTCTGTGTGTGTCTACCTGCATTGGAAAAGGGTCAAAGGGATTATGGCAATTAACTAGATGTGAGCTGTCCAGTAGGTAACCACAGCCATGTGTGGCTATTGCGCACCTGAAATATGGCTAGTCCGAACTGAGATGTGAGTAAGTATAAAATGCACACTGTATTTTGGAGATTTAGTATAAAAAAAAAGAAATGCAAAAAGTCTCAATGATGTTTATATTGATTACATGTTGAACATTGGAAATATTGGGGTTAAATGAAATACTATTTTACTTGTTTCTCCCTACTTTTTAAAAATTATTAATTAATTTATTTTTTAATTTTGAGAGGGAGGAAATTAGATATACTTATTTGTTTATTTTTAGAGGGGGTACTGGGGATTGAACTCAGGACATTGTCCATAGTAAGCATGTGCTCTGCCACTTGAGCTATACCTTCCCCCATTTCTTCCTACTTTTTTAATGTGACTAGTAGAAATTTTTAAATTACTTATGTGGCTTGCATTATATTTTCATTGGACATCGCTGGTCTAGACTTTAGAGACAATCCAGGCAATGAAATATCTCTGCTTTTAAGGGGCAAATTGTTTACAAACTAAATAAAAACATAACATTTACTCCTTCCCTGGGCTGGCAGGAGTGGAGGGGAGAAGGAGGCCTGTTGGCTTTGGAATGCCTCTTCCTTCTACCCTGAGAGTTACTGGAACTGAATCTCAGGAGATGGGCTGGACACCTTGGGGGCCTCCTTCATCCTACAAGAGAAGTGGGATGGGCCAGGCCTGATCCCTGAGGGTAAGGTAGGGACTGGGTTCTGGTAACCCAGGAGGTTTCTTGTGGTTCTGTTTCAGAGTCCCAGCATTACAAAGAAACTTCCCAGCTTTCTTGGCCTCTTGATTTCCCTGCAGGTCTGGGCCATTACTCTAAGAGGAAAGTAAGGCCGACCAGAAAGGAACTTCTCCAAGACAAGCCCTGCCTGCACTGCCTGCCCTTCTGGCCCCACAGTCCCCTTGGAAAGCCCCAGCTGGGATTATCTGAGCGCCCTTGGAGAAGGGGGTCTCCTAGGTGGAAAAGGGTGGGACTGAGGAATCCCTGTCTCCGCCTCCACTTCTGATTTCCTGTTATGCCCTCCTTGCCCCCAGGGGCTTTCTTTGGTGCAGAAGGCTGGTCTCACTCTCTCAGTCATGGAGATTTGTTTCCCAGCATCGCTGAAAGGGAGAGAGGAAGGAAAGATCCTGCAGTCCTGGAGGTCCTACCCTTCCCAGAGTGGTTCAGGTTCCTCCCTCCGTCTCTCACTTCCTAGGTTCCCAGTGGGGCCGAGGCAGAGGCAGGAGAGCTGTCCTCCCTAGGAAAATGCCTTCAGGTCTCCCTTGGTGGCTCTCAGCTCTCGGGCAGGCGGGTCCAGTGTGAGCAGAAGTAGAAAAAGAGGAGAGTGGGGAGTCGGCCCGTCCTCCCTCACGTCTTGGACAGTGAGCAGGGCCTGGGGAGATAGCCTTAGCTTTGAGGGAGAGCAGGGAATATGAAATGAAATTATATGAAATAAGGGGAAGGGGAAGGACTGAGCAGGAGGTCTGTCCCGCGCCTTCCCTTCCTTCCTTGGACCCTGCGAACACTGCGAGATTTGTAAGGCTGAATTCTGAGAAAGGGTTTGCAGTGCCTTGGCTCAAGGGTCATCGCTGCCCAAAGTCGTCGTTTTACTGCCCCTGCTCCCAAGGGACTTTCAGTAGTCTTGTTATTTTTGTTTCTGAGGCAGAAGTTAGTCCCTGCCTCAGAGTGAAGCTGAAATCCCACCTCCAAGGCCAAGTGCAAATCTGTGCCCTGAAGGGATGGAGTGAAGGTGCACACTGGCAAGGCAAGGCTCTTTACAGGGGCCACATCTGGTTGTATACCTGCCACACTCTCAATAGCTACTCAGCCTTTAGGGTCTTAGGAGACAGGATGCCTCCGTCTCCACTTGACAGAACAGGGTGGATGTTGGCAAAGTGTAGACAGCCACCCCCAGCACCTCCTCACAAGTCACTTTGGTCTTCCTTTTAGTTCTGCAGGAGATGATCGGACCAGGGCTAAGGACCAAGGAACTACTCCTGAAAGTCTGCAATGTTCCCTCTCCATGGCTGTCTGCTTTTCGGTCTTCAGTTCTTACCATTATAAACTTTAAAAAGATCACATTCCAGACTCCAGGACATAGAGTTCTGACTTCATTTAGATGCTTACTTGCCAAGATCTTATTTTAAAGTCATTGCCCCCTTCTTCCTCCTTCTTCTCACTCTCCTCATTTATTTACCATTTACCAGTTCATCCGTATGGAATACAACGCTCCCACTTCTTGGAGCTCTGTAGTTTGGGGCCTAATTGATTCTGGTAATTAATTTGTTCTACCTGCTATATCAGATGGAAATCCTGCCCGTGCGCCCAAGGATTAGCACTTGGCTTTCTAACACCTCCTCTAATTATCTAATAGCATGGGTTGTGAGGACTCAGTCTCTATTAAAACACTTTTACTATTAGCAGTAGTGACTGGAATTGTGATGATGACTAGATTTCAACAAATTAGAGCTTAAAAATGGGGAGATGGAAGAGAAGTGGCTTCTTTTAATTTCCCTGAGTTTAACATCAATAATTAGAGCAATTTTCGGAGATGTGAGCTGAAATTACCCCTGCTGTGCTGTAGATGATCACCTTAATTTTAGCAAATTGACTCCAGGGAAATAAATGTGACAGATTAGAAAAAGACAAACAGAAAAATACACAAAAGATTGGGAGGGAGGAAAAATGAAAAGAAAGGCTGCAAAAGGGAATGGGAAAAACACAGCACAGTTGTTTTGGGGGGCTAGGATTGGAAGGGGTAGTACAGCAGAAATAACAGCTGTGTGAGAGGAATGAGGAGGAAGTAATGGAAATTTGAGAGAAGGTGGAGACTGGCATTAAGAGGTAGCTATGAACATACTTACACAGACCAAATCGCTTGGCTAATACAGATATAACTTTCCTCACACCACCCTCTAACTGAGGTAAGGAATGTTATGATCATCATCATTTTATTTATTTACCTCAACAGTCCAGTCATCCCTCAGCCATCAACTTAAATTGGGCCTAGCAGATACGGGCTGTCTCCTCACTTTTCCTCTTTGCCTCCTGCTATCGTTTCTCTAAAGTTTTAAAATCCCAATACTGAAATAAGTGCCTTATCCCTATTGCTTTGGGGCCCTTTAAAAGACTTTTGCTCTCTAAAGAGGAGTTTCCCCGGTGGTAGAGACTTGTTCTCTTTGGCTTTCTTTGAAAACGGGAGGGAGTCAGGCAGCTTCTGCAGTGGCGGGGCAGAACTGAGGGGGAGAAACCTGGTAGGAGCAAGAACCCGCTCCGCTCCGCTCGGCTCCGCTCTCCTCAGGCCTGGCCGGTCGTGTTCAGCACCGCGGACAGCTCCCCGCCCCGCCCCGCCCCGCGCCCACCGCACCCTCCCCTCCGCCTCTGGCAGCCTTGCCATTGGCTCTCCCGGCTCCCCTCGCCAAGCTGCCAATTCTACACGTAGACCCGATCTACCCAGGAGCTTGTCTTCTCGCCTCCCCAGCGCTGGGGTAGCCCAGGCAGAGGAGAGAGCATCGGGGATCCGAGCCTCGAGAGTGGCTGGCTCTCGACCAGGCGTGCCGAGACGCTGCTTACTTCCTACACTTGGTCCCGGGCCCTCGCCCTGTGGCAGGCGCTCGGTTCAAGATGAATCTCAACTTCACCTCCCCTCTACACCCGGCGTCTTCTCAGAGGCCCACGTCCTTTTTCATCGAGGACATCCTGCTGCACAAGCCCAAGCCGCTAAGGGAGGTGGCCCCCGACCATTTCGCCAGCTCTCTGGCCTCTCGGGTGCCTCTGCTAGATTACAGCTACCCTCTCATGCCCACACCTACCCTCCTGGCTCCTCACCCCCATCACCCTCTACATAAGGGAGACCACCACCACCCTTATTTCCTCACCACCTCGGGTAAGTAACAGGGGTCTCAAGGTTCGGGGAGCGAGAGAGCAGGTCTTCCAGCACAGACCCTGTCATGGAGCCGAGGAAAGGCTAGAGCTGGCTAGGCCCGGCTTGACCGCCTTCTTCCCTAAGGGGAAGGTTGGGGATATGGCTGAGAACACAGGGAACTCCCATGAGGCCAATCCATGGTAGTTACTCGTGGTCACTCCACACTTTTCATAACTGAGGAAACGTTCCTAAACAAGAGGTGACGGTTGGTTTTGGAGATAATTTTGATGGGCAGTGTGCAGTTTCTTTTCTCTTGGTCATACTGGCCACTTTGGTCTATCTCTCAGTCCCCATCTCTGCCTCTCCCACTCCGAGGGAGACCCCTGACTATCTTACCCCACGGAAGCGAACTCAACTTTCCAGCGCAGAAGCTGCAAACACCCCAGTGGGGCCAGCTCTCTCAGGCGCTGAGCATTTGCCAATACAGCAGAGGCTTAGAAGTGAAGGAGGGTTTGGAATGTTCTGAGCACTGAAGGTTTGGGCTGGCCTGAATAAGGGCGAAAAGGTAAGAAAAAAAAGAGGGAGAGACTCGACTGCTTTTTAATCCTCCTCACTCCCAACATCTAGCATTTAACTCACAATCTTGGGCTGGGCTGCCCTCTTCTGCCCCAGTTGCTGGTGTCTCTGGAGCCTGGATCCAAAGTATTTTGATTTCCTAGGCATGGCAAGGAGCCGGCAGCCGCAAAGTCTGGGTGGGACAGGGAGATATGGGGAAATACCCAGTTTTTTTTTTTCTGCCCCCTCTCTGAAAGGCCACATTCATGCTGTCTTTTCCGACATCTTCAGTCAGGCCAGAATAGAATCTCGTTCGTTGAGCCCAGAAGCAGAGCACAGCCGGGAAAACAACACTGGTAGGGGCGGGGGCTGGAAAGACACGAGACAGTTGTGAAATGTGGGCCCTGGAATCCACGACAAAAGCTGAAGCGGTAAAACCCAGACTTTGGGGCACTGGGTTGGAAGGGCAGCTATAAAGCCTGCGTCTCAGTCCGCCTGCCAGCGTTGGCTTGACCTCCGGCCAGAAACAGTCTCTTTTGGACTGCACCCGTGTACCCCGCAAATAGTAGTGGCCAAGGTCCGAGATACCGGAACTTCTTGTTTTCTGGTTTTGGTCCCCCGGGTCAGCCGGTACTGATGTTTGGGGCGGTTTGCCTGCTAGGTGCGTCTCATACCGTAAAGCCTGCGAGGGTCAGGAAAGAGCCGAGAAGTCTCCCACGACCTGGCGGGCGGGGGAGGAGGGGAGCGCTTCAATCCTTCTGCTCAGAATCGGATGGAAAGAATGAGAAAAAGAATAAGGACCAGATTAGAGAGCTAGGGGTCCCAGCGCGACCCCGAAACTGGTAAGGAAACGTTCGAGGCGGGAATTGCCCTCCGTTCTCGCTCATGAGCCTCTCTGGGTAAGCGAGCGTTGCTCTGTTCCCCTTGGCTGCAGGCGGGAGAATGGAGGCGGCTGGGGAAAGAGAAAGGAGTTTTTTAGGTGCGGTGGGGAGGCAGATCACATTCACGTTTCTACCAGCCCCAGAGCATCACTGGTTGTCATCAGGGGTCTGAAAGGACGGGGGAGATAGTGGGGAGAAGGAAGCTACTGGACCTTTCGACGTTTGCAAGAAAACTTCGGGAGGCGCGCAGCCGAGGACTCTGTGGAAGTTTTTCCAAGAAGACATTTTTTAAGATCTCCAGATCTATTTTATAATCTTCTTCTCCTTTGTACTGTTTATTGTTTATATTTCTAGATGGTCTTCCTGGTAGAGATCTCCAAGCGCTATTGCGATTTCCCCCATCTCTGCGATTCCTAGGAGAAGCGCTTTGGGGCGAGGCGGGGACTGGTGGAGGCAGAGGCGGAGAGGGCAGGGGACTAGAGTGGGGAGTGGAGCCGAGGTCGCTCGCGGGAGATCCGGCTCTGCCCATTCGGCGGCTCTTCTCTCCGCAGGCGTGCCGGTCCCGGCGCTGTTCCCGCACCCCCAGCACACCGAGCTGCCGGGGAAGCACTGCCGCCGCCGCAAAGCTCGCACTGTTTTCTCGGACTCGCAGCTCTCCGGCCTGGAGAAGAGATTCGAGATCCAGCGCTACCTGTCCACGCCGGAGCGGGTGGAGCTGGCCACGGCCCTCAGCCTGTCGGAGACGCAGGTGGGCCGGCGGAGAGAGAGAGCCCCATCTCTGCTCGCTCCTCTCCCCTCCACTCCTAATACCTCTGCACCCGCTGCGGAGTTCTTGAGCGGAATGACCCTGCTCCCCTTTATTCTACGCTTTCCCAAAGAGCCATAGTCAAAGTACAGACACCTCCAATCTTGTGTCAGAGTTAGCAAAGCAAAATCTCTCAAGCGGGTTCTGGACGTGGCGGGAAAACTCCTCTAGTGACTGATCATCGCTCCCTGTTTGAGAGCTGCCATGTCTGTGTCTCCTCCACCTCTTTCCCATCATGACAGTAACCCGGGTCAGACGTAAGTTGGTAAGAGGCCAGAGGGCTCTTGGCCTGAGAGAAGCCCACCCAAGATTTTTTTCTTCTTAATTTAATCTCTTTCACAGCTGCAAGTCCTCATAGCCACCTCCTCCACAACACACACACATACTAATTGAAGCCTCCTTCCCATTGCGCTGTCCCGAGTGAAAGGACTCTTTTCATTTTCTTCAGATACTATTCACCTGTAGCCTCAAAACCCCTTGCTTCACTCTCCCGCCCGCCCCCCCCTTATTATTCTCTGTACCTGGAAATTCAACTTGCTGTGTGTTCATAGCTCTCCCAGGCCCCAGTGATTTTCCCTATGATAAGAACCAGCAAGTCTGAGTCTCCTCTTCCAGTCCAGGAGTCTTGCTGGACCAGGTGTGTAGATGTCACCGTCAGAGGAACTCATTCACGCAGCACTTAGTAATCCTAATTAATATCAGTGTTAGTATTTACTAACGACATCATTTTGATCCTCACCGTTATTTCGGGACAGTTACTTATAAGAGCCTTAGGATGTTTGGTTGTCATTCAAGCTAAGACGATAACCTGTGAGCAGCTCAGGTGTGATGTAACCTAAGGGTGAGACTGTCACAGCTCCTGGATAATTTGTCGGTGGGTTGCCATCTATTAGTCTATTTTCTTCTGCAGCAACCGCGCAGATCTTAGCGCAGTAACTATGGATCTGAAGGAATGACGTGATTTTTTTTTCTTCCCGAAATCAGGTGAAAACGTGGTTTCAGAACCGGCGGATGAAGCATAAAAAACAGCTGAGGAAAAGTCAAGACGAGCCCAAAGCGCCTGATGGGCCAGAGAGCCCGGAGGGCAGCCCCCGCGGCCTAGAGGCCGCACCCGCCGAGGCTCGGCTGGGCCTGCCCGCTGGCCCCTTCGTGCTGACCGAGCCGGAGGACGAAGTGGACATTGGGGACGAGGGGGAGCTGGGCTCAGGGCCGCACGCGCTCTGAGACGCGGGGCTGGGGAGGCGGGGAGGAGGCCGCGGGGCGGGCCTGGGAGATCAGCTCCGGGAAGACAAACACAACACACCTGTCAACCCTCCAACCCGTGCGGGGCCCGCGCGGCCCGGCCTCCACGCTCCTCCCCCAACCTTCCGCCCGCCGCGTCCCTGCCCGGGTGCGTGCGCGCCTGGTTCGCTTGTTCCCCGCGCCTTCAGCGGCGCAAGCTGGAGTTTGGGCTCTCGGCTCCATAATTCGGTGGTGAGCCTCTTCCCCGCCAAGGTCGACCGCAGACCTCTCGGCCCTCACCCTTCAGCCACCTGCCCCCGCTCCGTTTTCCAGGCTCCGCGGCCTCTCCACCGGATCCTTAGGCAGACCGACTGGCTGCAGGTAAGGGACCGGGTGTCTGGGCCCTCGGCTCTGCGGGGATCCGGGACGAGCCCCAACCTAACCTAACACGTCCACGCCGGGACAGACTCGCGCGCTGCTCGCCACTAACCTCCCACTCGGCCCCCCACCCCCATCCGTAACTAACACTAAGGCGACTCCCTCCTTCTCAGGGAGGCGCTTCCGTCCTCGCCTGACGCCGTTCCGCTCAAGAGCTCGCGGTTCTGCACCCAGGAACCCTTTCTGAGCTTGTGGCCCCCCAGGCACCCGCGCTCTTTACCCTTGTTCCCCACCCCACCCCGGCCCCCTGCGGAGCGGTGCACGCGCGCGGCGAGAAACTTGCGCAGAGAAAACGCCATCGAGCGATTTCTGCTTCTCGACCTTGTTGGGCGTCTGTCCCGCAACACTTCCACGTCTCACCGGCTACTGACATTTTCAAAGTGTTTTTCGAGTGTTCCTCGGGTTGTGTGTGGAAATGCTCATTTTCATTGCATTTTAGGGAACGCGGAGTTTTAGCACGATGAAGCCGAAAGGGGAATACGCAACCCCTTCCGGGAGGGCACCTGTTTGGGGACCGACGCGGTGGGGCAGGAGTCTGGCCCTGCGCGTTGCCCCTCTCCCTTTCCCCTGGGAGGTCCCCCATTCTTTCCCGGGTTTGCACTCTCTGTAGATAATAAAGGGCTCGCCGGGCAAAACCGGGAACCAACATGAGTTTCCGGGAATTGTTTGTTACCGCGACCTCCTACGGGCCTGCCCTCTCCCTCCGCCCTGGGCAGTTTCCTGTCCTTGGAAGGAATGAACAGGGCTAAAAAACCTTTCCTTAACTGATTCCCGTCTCCCCCACCCGGTTTTTCTGTTTTTAATCATTTAACAGTTTTGAGTTCCACCTGCGTGGAAAAGGACTCTGCTTACAGTATTTTTTTTTGACTCTGAAATGCTGAAGGGACAGAGGTCTCTTGATATTAGGAATTTGAAATTATGCTAACGGATTGTGTGACGCTACATACCCAGTACACTTATCAAATACAGCAGCCGTGCCAGAGGCGACCTCCGCTTCCGATCTTCTTTTTGCTCTGGTTGTGTATTTAGGTAAAAGCCTAGAAGGCTGGAAAAGTGTGTGTGGCTAGGTAGAGTCCGGACTGTTGGGTTTTAATGGTTAATAATAATTGTATAAACTACAGCGGTGCGAGCTTGGGTTACATTTACCAACACTTTTTGGTTCCGTATTTCTCTAATTAGAGGATGAATCCTCAAGATCTTTCTGGATCTGAGTTCTATGATTCTGTGAATGTAGCAGCACGCATTTCCCCCCCCAGTAGGCTTGTTGGCGAAACATTACCTTAAGCAAAGATAGGTGTCAGAGTGAGACCTTTATCCAATCTGCATCATTAAGGAGGCAAAGCTATTGCTTTAAAAACACAAGCATTGTACACTGTTTGGATTTTCCAAAGTGCTCTTTATCCATCAGCAATCTTGTGAGTCATGGCAAGGATTACTTTTCCCTTCATAGATACAGAAATTGAGGCTTGGCAAGACTGAAGGATTTAACCATGAAATCAGGACTAGCTAACAGCCAAAGTAGAGCAGAAAATATCTCTTCTGACTCCTTGTTCACTACTTTGCCCAAAACACTCCCCTCCCCGTAATAACGCATTGGTTGGCATTTTGCTTTTAACACTTTGTAAAGACATATTTCTCATTTATTTAGATCATGTAGATGTGCTATAAAAGCCGTTCTAGGTTCAGATTTCTCCTCTCTCTCCCTGTTCAGATGACAGTACTGATTTTTGGCAAATGCTTTACAAAAGACTTGGTTATAGAAAGAAAGTGATTTGTGAATCAGAATGATCCTGGTAACCTAGAAGGGAAAGTAGATACTATTACAGAAGGGAAAATTTCAACTTCTAATCCCAGAAAAGGCATTTTGGGGAGGATCTTTGAAGTGGGTAGAAATACTGTGTTTGTGGGGAAATTTAAAAAAAAATTGAATTTGATGGTTAGCACAAACCCAAAGGCACCAGGCACTTCTTTCTTCTCTTGTCTCACAAGAAGATGGCAGGGCTTATTCTGGGTCTAAGAGGAGCAGATTAGTACATTTTAGGACGTTTTGTCTTGAAGAGACAGGTAAGTAGGAAACACTGTTAGCATAAACACAGTTCTGCCTGATTGGAGGCAGAATGAATCCTGGAGCTCAGGGAATGGCTGTATCTTTCATTCAGGAGCATCAAACATGGGAAGACGCTCATTCTGCCACATCCTGGTCTCCCTCTGTGAGTATTCCTGGGTAGATCAGTTGGGAAGGGAAGAGCTCAGACCTGTGGCACCAGCCACACTGACTGTGGCCCTGTTTTCTCATCAGGCAGTATTCCCTGAAATTGGTGGCAAGCAATTCAACAGCAAAGTTCTCCTAGTTTTTTTCCTTTCCTTTTCTTTTTTTATACACAGCGAGTTAGGGATGATAGTAGAGGATAGACACAATTTAGTCTCAATTTAATGTAACATGATAGCACTTTTTGTTTTTGGCCTTCAATACTGATCAAAGCCTCCGTATACTGAAAGGGTATTTTGTCTGAATTACCCAGGCTTTTGCTTCAACTCGGTTTCACTTGGTGGTGAAGATCTGACAACTACAGTCATTATGCTATATTAAAGAAAGACATACATAGGTCTGATTCTGAAGGGGCAAAAACATCTTAAAATAGCCAAGTGGGTATGTCATCCTACACGTAATCCCAAATGTAGTAAATAATTTGGTCTGTATTTGTTCTCAATGCTGCTTCTGATGGACTTCATTTCATAGCTTCTCAGAGAGAGGGAGTCTTGCTAACATTTCTAGTCACATGACATAAGAACACAAGAAATCAACAACACACCATTCAGCCCAGTATTAGCCGACAGTGGCACTAAGAAATGATTAATTGGAATCCATGACACCACTTCAAGTAGATAGAGGACTGCCTCTTGTCAATGGGTTGATAACTAGAAATGAAGAGGTGTGAAGGCGCAGAGCAAGCAGAATGCTTTCTGGTGCTAAGAGAATCATGCAATAAACTTATTTAGTTGAAGCAGTGACTCCATGGTCTTCTTGAATCGGGCCCAGTGTGTGTGCAAAAATAATAATTGAAATATTTTATGTTATATTCTTGGTGTTACATTCTAAAGAGGATATTGACAAGCTAAAATTCATCCAGGAATGAAAACAGAAACCTAGATGGTAGAAGGTATGGGAAACAACAACAAACAGGAGTGTGCGCTTTTTAGCTTGGAGAAGCAAAGCTTTAGGGAAGGTTAGGAGAGGAGATTGGCTGTGGTAGTTGAATTTCAATGCTTGCAGAGCTATTCAGTATCGGGAGGGTATATCTAGTCTTCCCCGCTAGAGGGCAGAACCAGAACCATTGGGTGGTTCCAGGGAAGCAGGTACTGGAAGAACATTTAAATACCTTGTATAGGCTAGGTACCATTTTGTCCATCAATAGAACAGGCTAAGTCCACAAAACACTAAGTACCTTTTACTAGGAAAGTTTAATCAGAAGCTGGAAGACAAAACATTAAAGATGCTCTATAATGGATTTCTCCATCAGTGGGAGATAAGAGTTCTTTCTTATCCTTAAGTTTGTATTGTAGAAGTTATGACTTACTATAATCATTTTTCATCTCACTAAGAATAAGATTTTACTTCATACACTCTGATTTATATAAAGAGAGCTATCACAATTAGAAGAGTTAACAGAAACAAGAAAAAGAAGGAAAAGCAATTCCTTTATTCATTTAAGAAGTCCCTAAATCTCATTCTAGAAAGTAAGTGAAACCAAAGTGATAGTCCACTGAATTAAGGACAAAGATATAGTCAGGAAGGAATTATCAGTGTTAGAAGAGACATTTGACAAAATCTAAGCCCTTCATTTTATAAATGAAGATGTTTAGATCCAGATGTAATGAGTGTCTGACCAATGTCAAATAAACAGTGGTAAAATTAAGACCAGAAGCCAATTTTAACGATCATACCGTACCACTAACTCATATTGTGATAAAAGCAGCAGCGGGGTTATGGTCATTGTGTTCTGTGGAGGAGAGGATTTTGCATAGCAATTTTGGGTGTAAAATCTTAAAAAAAGTTTGGAAGTTATCTAGTAAAGTCTTAGATTGATTTATGGAAAATTAAGAGCAGTCTGAAACTTTATTAAATTGGCATTCTGAGGAGGTACTGCGTCCTTTCGCCTTGTTTTCATTCAAGCCAAGGTTGTGTCACCACTTGCTGGGATGTTTTAGAAGAGGCTCATGTATCCAGCAGGATGAGCTAGATGATGTCTAAACTCTTTCAAATCTCCACTCTTTCTTATTCTAAAACTTTTGGCCTAATCTCCTTTAATTACAGACAAAGCAACTGAGAGTCAGAGACTGACTTGCCCAGCATCATTTAGACTATTAACCTGGTGAGTCACAGCATTAATACATGCAGAGGTCAGAGGTAATTCCAATTAACATTTAGGAGAAAGGTGAAGATTTGAAATGACTCTCATTTCATTTTTTCTTCAGTCAGATTCTCTGTTTTCTTTTCTGATTTGAACCCCACCCCCACCAAGATGCATTTCTCCTTCCGTCTCAGAATTCCTCACGTATACACCAGATAACTTTCCCTCCGTGATTTCATTTATAAAATTCTATGAGCTTTCTCTTATTACTTTTTATAGTATTGCGCAGCCACATCGGATTTGGCATCATGACCTCTGGCTACATGGTTTAGGGACTTCAATCCTAATCTTACTTTTGCTAATGATTACATTTCTTCTCTTACTTGGCATCTGAAAAATGAGAAAAGGACCCTATAAATAGGGTAGAGCATTACTATGATATTATATATAATCCTTAGCTAAGCTGGGTAATCAACTGTGATTACTTTTCTTTTTCTGCAAGACTTTTCTTCCTCTTGGAGTTAAGACATTTTATTATTCTTAATTTTTAATGTACTTGTCTCCAATTTAACTCCAAACTCTTCACCAGTT